AAATGACTCAAAACAACTTCTGCTTTCCATTATACTTCATATATAATTTTTATCAGTCCCTGCACATGGAGATGCTACATCTTGTTTTATGGCACATCCTCGGACTATGAGCCAGAGTATAATAAAAGACAATTTACAGCCAAGAACACATATATTACGAACATACAGTACACACAAAAAGATGAGTTTTGGAGGCACTTACAGGAACCATTCCCCAAAGAATACAGTTATGTCTATTACTTCCTTTTCTTGTCAAAATGTCACTGCTTTGAAAGAGACCAATTCCCGTTTTTCTACATTTGTTGTACCTTAGAGCCCAGAGACTCAAAGTGAAAGGAAAGAAAAGTTAACTTAAATGTTTGAAGGCTTATTTAGTTAAGTGTTTTAGGTGCACCCTAAAAGCACCTGCCGAGATGGCCTAATCAATGCATGTAAATCTAAAGGAGTATTAAATTTGGAGCTCTACTAAAAACCATCAAGTTGTAGAAAAAATAAGTTGTCTTTATAAGAAAGAAAAAAAAAAAAAAAAACGACTTCCATAACATGGAATATAATTGAAAATTTCCTAAAGAGGAACCTTAACACAAACAGGCCATGACTTCTATTCAAAAATTTGACTTGCCAGGGACGTGTAGAATTAACAGGCCAATAATTTTTAGCTGAGGAATGCCTCAAAAGGCTGATAGATTGCCAAGCCCCTTCTGCCAGAGGAAGGGAGGGGGGAAGGTCGAGCTGCCATTTTGTTGCCTCTGTTTTTAAAGTTGTGCATTGTTTTCTCCACATGCATGCAGCTACAGAGGTCAGGGAGAGCTTAAAATTAAATTAACCACTTGCCCTCCAGAGGATTTACCCCCCTTTCTGATCAGGCCATTTTTTTGCGTTACGGCGCTGCGTTACTTTAACTGACAATTGCGCGGTCATAAAAATGCTGCACCCAAATGAAATTTACGTCTTTATTTTTTTCATGAATTGAGCTTTCTTTCGATAGTATTTGATTGCCTGTGCGGTTTTTATTTTTTTTGCGCTATAAACAAAAAAAAAGACCAATAATTGTGAGAAAAAAAACTTTTTGCTATTAAACATGTCCAGTAAAAAAATATAAAAAAAATCAAATTTCATCAAAAATTTACACCAAAATGTATTCTGCAACACGTCTTTGCTAAAAAAAAAAATCCCAATACGTGTAAATTAATTGGTTGACATAAAAGTTATAGTGTTTACAAATGGCGGTATATATACTGGGACTTTTTATTTTTACTAGTAATGGCAGCAATCAGCGACTTATAGCGGGACTGCGGCATGCATTCTGACACTGGGCGGAACTGACTTGGTGTCACTGACATCCCCAGTGACACCAATACAGTGATCAGTGCTAAAAAAAAAATCCCTGACACTGTACTAATGGCACTGAGCATGAAGGGGTTAACATGAGGGGCGATCAAAGGGGTAACTGTGTGCTGAGAGTTTTACTAGGGGGTTGTGTCAGTTTGCTGCACTGTAAGCACACTGCTTTGGATGGCTGTGCTGTGCATAGCCATCCAAAGCAGTGTGCCCGAGATGACAGGGAGAAGTCTTAGTAAACAAAACAGTACTCCTCCTTGTTGGAGATCCTCGGAAATCACCGGGTGCTGGCGAGTAATCACCGGCTGGAACCCAATGATTGACAGCCGCGAATGGCAGCGTGGGTAGGGCGTGCTGCCCTGTTGCAATATTTTGCTATAGGGCGGTACGAAAGTGGTTAAAGGCAATTAAAAAAACAAAGAATAACAAAAACATTATATACCTGCTGTGGTTTTGCACAGAGCATCCCATATCCTCCTCTTCTCTGGTCTCCTGCCAGCACTCCTGGCTCCTTCCTCCTGCCAAGTGCCTCCAGAGCAAGCAACTTGCTATGGGGGCACCAAAGCAGGCTTGCTCCCAAGCCAACGCTCTGCATGTCCATTCACACACAGAGCCGTAGCCCCGCCCTCCCTATCTCTCTTCATTGGCTTACTGGCTGTGATTAACAATGGCTCCCGCTGCTGTCTCAGCCAATGAGGAGGGAGAGTCCCCGGAGAGCTCACGCAAGTATTAGGGGGGCTGAAGCATTTGTATAATAATACTTACTGATAATGCTGATACATTTTAACAGGTCAAAAAGATCAAAATAATCTTATAGTTGAGTAATGTACCAATAAAAGTATACATTTATAGTTTGTAATATATCTTACACAAACACATGAAGGCAGTCATAATTAGGCTCTGTTTCTTGATTTGCAATGCTACACATGGTTTTTCTGAACTGCCTCCTGTCACAATACAGTAGAGTGCTTTCATCAATTAGCTCCTGCTTGTAAAAGTTTGTTATTGTTTGCTAACTTATTAATTGCAAGCCATGTGGTAGCCATGGGCTAAGAGATTTTACTAAACAGGCTACTATGTGTATTACAGCCAATATACACACCCCAGCTAATTCCTTGGTCAGGTACAAATGATACCCCGGCAATACACCCCACCCCACAGCACTGCACTGATTTCCACTCAAGGAGCCAGGAATCCTGCAACTATTCCATCACAACCATTATGTAGAAGGAGTAATACAATGTCTGGCCAAATCATGAACATCCACCTTATTCACCTCTATTGTTACAGCCAGCAAATACCTGGATGATTTGCACCACATTTCTTACATGACTGTTGTGAAAACCTGAGCCAAGAGGGCGGAGGAGCTGGCTGCACCCAACGGGGCTAAGAATAAACTCTAGGAGCAGAGGGCAACATATTTACAGGCTGCATATGAAGGCTGAATCAGTGAACATGCTGCAAGCAGCACAGGAGCAGGTGAGGGTTGGATGGCCACAGGTAACCAAAGTCACTGTAGGCAGACATCAGGACTTGATTGAAGATAGTTCCCCTTGGCTCTGTAAAAAGGAGTAGCTGTGGAGAGATTCTTTCCACTGAATTACAGAAAAGAGAGCTTAATGTTCAGCACGCATGCCACTCCACCCAACGGGTGATGTCAGTGCTCAGTTCCACAATGTTAAGCCCTTTAGTTGTTGAAGCCAAAACAGGGAATTTTAAAAGAACTCAGCACCCAATGAAAATCAGACAGCTTCTGATGCTCAGTCTGACCAGTCTACTCACAGAGTGAGTCTCTAAGGACAGAGCAAGCTCTGAGGCACTGCCACCAGCTCTAAACCTGGAAAGTAACCCATGGTTAGCTTGTAAGCAGGAGAGGGTCTGGAAAGTTCTTTACGCAGAACACAGTGCCCAAAGTTCACTTCCAGGCTATCCCTTCAAGATCCTATCCAGTGGGGTCCAGGTGAGGCACTCCAAAAGCCTGGTTGAAGACAGCTTTGATGAATAGGTGCAAATAGAGAGAACAGCTCTTACAGCAGTGTAGAGAAGAGCCTTAATTGAAAAAGAAATGTTGAAAAGAGAGAAAATTGTGCTATCAAAAAGATAGAATCACCCATGATGGTAACTGCAGCAGGGACCAAGGGGTAAGGGGGGTATAGGGTGTTAGTTCACCTTTTCCTTTTTTGTGAAAAGGTGAATTTATACTTTAAAAACTTCTTGGGGTTGATTTACTGAAGACAAATAGGATGTTCACTTTGCACCATAGCTTGGTGAATGTGGTGAAGTTTCAATTTACAAAGAATACCCAATCATGTGAAAGCTAAAAAAAAAAAAAAAAGCATTTTTTGTTAGCATATGATTGGATTATGGAAGGAAGTCAGTAGAACTTCACCTAATTCACGAAACACTGGGGTACATTACCTTACAATCAAACCCCTTATGTCCTTCAATAGATGAGCAAAAACCAGATACTACTCAGCTATCCCCCTGAGTATGACAATAATGTGAGACACATTTCTGTCTGAATAGAAATCAAAGGACTTATGAAATCCTGGAGGGGTGGGAGTCAGTGTACTGTACTGCTACCCTCAGTTCATACCTCAGTCAAAATGGCCTAGCGGTCCAGTTATGCATTAATTAAAGCAAATTCACTGCTATACTGCTATTCAGCAATCATTTTTACGGAAAATACATTGATAGAGACATCACCCATATACACAACACACACATGTTGTTTTAGTATGCATCTGGTTTATATTTAGAACAATAAGAAGAATTAAAAAACTGAACTGCATCATAAAAAAAAAAAATCACTACAGGTTTCACATTCTGTATTCCAATAGAGGCAGGAAAAGTAAGATTCTAGCATTCTTCAGATCATGGCATTAAATACTGCCCAACACAGATGCAGTAAAAGAATCAATATCTGAAATTGCCTCTTGCAAGAAAATAGCCAACCAAAGAGATAATTTGTAAAAGTCAGCAATACTTTATTGACCACTATTGACTGTGACTAAACTGAGCCTGTGGTCTATATTTACCAAAGGTGCCAAAGATCTGCTAGCTCTAGAAGAACTTTTGTAGTTTTATTGGATAAAAGATATGACTTTAGTAATACTATGCCCAAACAAAAAAAAAACATTCACACACAAGCACAGAACTTCCTGGCTAAAGATATGTGGACATATATAATTTTTTCTTTATTTACCATTTTACATTAAAACCACCATACCCTTTACAGAGGACTAGTTGTGTCATGTAGGGGCTCATTCAGATGGGCGATTAGTCCCATTCTCTTTGCAGAGCCACAGGCATATGCATGTGAAAGGGTTTTTAAGCCTCACATTCTACATGAAATGGCTTCCCCAAAGCCTCCTTATATCCAAACAGACAGTATGTCTATTATATGGGGCAGCACAACAGTTAGCCCTTCTGCATTGCAGCACTATGGTTATCAGCTTGAATCCCAACCACAATACTGGAAGCATGGAGTTTGCATGTTCTTTCTGTGCTTGTGTGGGTTTCCTGGGTAAATTGGCCCTAGTTTGTACATACAGATTGTAAACTCCTTGAGGACAGAGACTGATGTGAATAAAGATTATATGTAAAGCGATGCATAAACTGTCAGCACTATATAAATACTAATAACTAAATAAGCCTACCTGGCTCTTCCAACCACTACAGTCTGGGCCCATGGCTGCATAATTTCCATAAATGATCCATGGTCAAAAAATCCACTTAACCATTGTCCTTTCTGACCTGCAGAAATAAGAAATATGATTAAATATTTACATATGGCTCAATAGATGGCAATTCTGTGTTGATATATAATACAGTGTGAACAAATACAAAAGACAATTTATAATTGTTTAAAGCCCAATTCCAGGAAAAGTAAAAATGCTCCCTTGCAGTGGGGCTGCCCAGACACTGCAAGGGGCAAATTCTTGTTTATGTCTCGTTGACAGGAAAAGCAATTTTTTTTTATCCTACCTACTGCTCTCCAGGCAGATGGCCCAGCCCTATGTTCCAGCAGTTCCTCTGCATTCTCATGTCCAGTGCTGGGCTATGGGCCTTGCATCCATCTTTGTGGCATCAGAGGGCATCTGATCCCCAGAACATAGGGAAGAAGAGGCTGTGGAGTCCAGTCTGGCAGAACAGAGAAGCCTGCAGAGGATTGGGAATGTAATTTTTTTTTGCCAGTCACGAAAAAATTACATGTAGTATTTTGTCCCATTTCCCTAGTTTTCCCATAACGCTAGCTTTCAAGGTGGACAAGGCGCACACCCTTGCCACGTGGCTGTCCAACACCACAGCTAGCAAGAAGACACTGGCTTTGCTTTGTTGTGCCTGTCTCTGGCTCCCGGCACTTGCTTGAGACAAGCATGGCAAGAGGGATAGGAGGCTGGTATATCTCACATTCCTCAAGCCAGTGCTCGTCTTGTTAGCTGTCGTGATTGGCAGCTTGTACACCGAGGATGGAGGTGCCTTATCCAACATCGTACCTAGTGTTACTGGGCATCTAGAGAGATAGGACACAGTACTACACATATCTTTTTCCCATGGGAAACTCAATAATGGAAAAATTGAGAGTTCTTTAGAATAAGAAATATTTTATAATTTTATTTTCATAATGTTGTTTCAAACTTGTAAGTTTTTAAATTGATATCACGTAAATCTTTACTTTGCAAAAAAAAAAAAAAAAACCTGACATACAGGGTGCACCTATGACACAGGAATGAAAGAACATCATGTTTTTCTTTTAAAGAGAAAGCATAGCAGACACCACCTCACACTCAGATGGCCATCTGAATACAGCAGACTGGGAGCAGGAAAGAAGGGGAAGAGCCACTGCTATGATTCATTCCATTGTGGATTACTGACTGGAATGAGAGGATGAGAATACAACATATTTCTATGTGATAAAAAAATAAATTTTATATATATATATATATATATATATACACACACATATACACACATATATACACACACACTACTTAATATACATGTTCCCTTTTTGTTTTCTCTGTTCACCACTCCTATTCTGTTATTTTGCTTCACTTTGCTCTTTTTTTTTCTCATTGTACCCCATGCAATTTAGATCATTTTGCCACTTATACCATTTCCCTCTTTCCTTCTTTCTTTCTTTCTTTTTATTCCTTTTCTTAATTTTTACTTTGTCTTGCTGCCATTCCTAATTGTTGGCTAGTTACAACAGAGGTTCATTATATCACGTCAGGGTTGAGAAGTTGCCATGCAGTGCTCTGTCCTGGTCTGTAGAGTTTTCAACCACCAGCACACTTCCCACTGACCAGCCACTACTTGTAGTCCCCCTTGTGGGTAAGGTATACTTTATAGATGCTGGCATATTATTCTTTTCTCCTTTTTTGTGCCTTTATGATAAACTGCTCCTTAAGTAAGTATGTTTGCTATTTATGCCTAATTGGCTTGCTGGTACATGCAGTTCCTCTATTATATTATGACTGCTTTAAGTTTGCATTTGTGAATATTTCAAAGGTCATGCATCTGTACATTTTTCAAGTTTTTATTTGTAATGTATTTATGGTCACACGGTTGGCGATTAACATGGTGCGGTGGGTGGTGTGATCTACTGAAGGTGGTCTTTACCTTGTGAAAGGGAGACCTCCTGAAACATTGGCATAATAGAACTTTGTTATTCTTCTAATATTTCTCCACTGGAAAGTCTTGTGATTGCCTACTTTATTTTTGCCTGCACTTAGCGTGTGTGGAGCATATACATTAATTGCGTGCCGATACCACTTGAAAGCATATATATATATCATACACAGTATAACTAAATATAAATACACACACACAAACTTTGATTCAGCAGATTCCATGTGACCAATCACTTCCTCCTAGCCTACAGCATGTATTTGATCCTTTGCTCCGGAAACCTAAAATATTGAAAACTAAAAGACTGCAAGCAGACTGCACAGAAAACAGATTCATTTGAACCCCAACCTCTGAAATCATAAGCCTAAAACCAATTAAAAGAATGTCTCCTAGTGCTGTAACCTTTGCTGACTTAAAGTGGCAGGCAAGACTGTTTTATCATGGAAAAAAAAGCCTTGTAATTACTATGTTCTACATTGCAGGCTTCTTGGCCCTAGTGTACAGTGTAAGCATTCATTCTAGACCTATCTTCCTATCATAAGCCTGAGCTGCTGGTTTAGATTCTGGCCCAGTGTCTCATGTCATGTTGAAGAATCTCATAGCACTATCTTCTCTAATAAATGGCTTTAACTTTTCACCTAGGAGATATCTACTTTAACTTATCACCTGGAATCATCTGCTTTTCTTAACGCCTCCACTAAATTAAAATCTGAAAGCCCCCTGATTTGGAGCCAGGCTGGTGCTAGCCTTTCAGACAGCACGATGAATGGTCGCTGAGAGAATGTAAAAATATTATCCAAATACAGCAAGCTTTACTGACCACCTTTCCTTCAAGGAGTATGAGGAAAGCTGTAGATTGTAAATAGCTAGCAGGTTAGACACAACTGCTTTTCACATATAGTCAGTAAAAGAACAAGACCCGCCGAAGAAGAAAAAAAAAAATCAAATGGCTTAGAACTCTGAAAATTAGATGACTCCGTGGAATAAAAATTTTAGTCAACTGTTACTGTTTTCAAACTTCATATTAGCCTATTACCTGAACAGATTTATCATTCCTAAATATTTCCTGGATTGAAAAAAAATAACGTTTAATTGTTCCAGAGAAAATGTGTTTAATTCTGTGCAGCCTTTCTTGTTATTTGCTCATCTCTGTAACCTTAGATTTTAAGAAGGTGACACCAGTATTCAGAGACAACAGCTTTCTGTAGTTATCTCTGGCCTGCTTATTGGCAGGAAAGCTACTAATGAGGTTGTCCCCATGAACATCTGCTTTAAAGTGGAACTTTAGTTGAACCAAATTGCTAGATTTGTTTTTCTTGTCAGCAGAAGTGACTTTGCAAGACTTTTATGCTTAAACTTGATCTGTCCCCTTCCAACTTTTTATTATAGTGTACACTGCCTGTGGAGCATGTGCAGTGAAGTATACATTCCTAGTTCATTCCAGGACAATGTAACTCCTTCTATACCAGAATAACATTCTAAATTGTGTGGGAAAGCATGATGAAGAAAAGCAAGGAATAGTTCTGACCTGTCTGCATCGGAGGAGGGAAAATGGAGGAAAATTTGGCGTGATGCTCACATATCTTATTTATTTTTTTTATTTCAGGTACTTATATAGCGCTGTCAGTTTATGCAGCACTTTACATATATACAGTATTGTACATTCACATCAGTCCCTAACCCTCAAGGAGCGTACAATCTAAGGTATATCTGGTGAATACTTGCACATTATGGCAAGAGTAGCAAACTTACAGTTCTGCTTTAAAAGAATATTGATGATGTATTAAGGCGATGAGCATTTTCAGAAAGAGATCAATAATAACAGCTTTCATATTTCTCCATTTTGGACAAACCATAGTGTACTGTGACAGAGCTCATCTTTCAAGTATTATTGCAATATTTTATGCTCAATATTGCATATATGCGGTGCGGGAAACACAGTGAATCTTGAGCGTTTCCTGCATCGCATTAAAATCGCCATCTGCCACTGGTCTCAATGTTAAATTATTACAATAACAGGTTGGTTTGTTTCAACTATACAAGTGTGTACACTGTGTGTACCTGATTTGTGCACCAAAAAAGATGAGTCTCTTCAATTTTTATACATTTTTATAAACATTGGTTTTTATGTGGAGAGCACTATACTTCCTTCTTTATTCTGAGTGTATTGAAAAAATTCATCCATAGATTGCAGAGGATGGAGATGGATTGAGAAGCCCCAGTGGTGTGGAGGGAACCATTACTCTTGTGGTATAGGTGACCCCACTATGAGGGGCAAGCACATTAGACCTTGTTGTGAGGTCTACTAAAAAGATGAGAGAATATTTTTGTCGGTGGAGGGGTATCTGCATGTGGTGTTTATTAACTACTTCCTGCCCGGTCTATAGTAAAATGACGGCCGGGTGAGCCTCTCGTCCCTCTGGTAGGGCGTCATATGATGTCCTTCCCGGATTGCGCATGCCCTCAGGGCCGCGCTGTGGTGAGATCTGTCACCAGCTGTGTACCTCAGACATGGTGACAGATCTGTGTACCGGCCCTGTTGCCAGTACCATGTGACCTGCTGTGACCAATCACAGCAGGTCACTTGGCAGTTGTATACAATGGATGGCTTCTTTGCTGTAAGCAATCAAATGAGTTAAAAAAAAAAAAAAAAAAAAAAAGATCACTTCCCCAAAGTAGTACAATGTTACTATGGTAACATTATACTACTTTGGGCATAGTGTATTATGGAAAAAAAAAATCTTAAAAAGAGAAAAAAAATTTAATAAAAAAAAAATGAAAAAATAATTATCATGCCATGAAATACGTTGGACTGTCTACTTTGCAAAAAGGGGTCATTTGGGGGATATCTGTACTGTTCTGACATTTTTGGGCCTCAAGAAATTAGATTGGCTGTCAGTACTTCAGGACTGATCAATTACCAGATATATCCCATAGTTTGTGAAATCTATAACTTTCCTACAAACTAAATAATAAATACTGATTTTGGTTATTTACACCAAAGAAATGTAGCAGAATACATCTTGGCCTAAATTTATGAAGAACAATTATTTATTTGCAAACTTTTATAACAGAAACAAAGAAAAATGTGTTTTTTTTTTTCAAAATTTGCAGTCTTTTTTTGTTAATTTAGCAAAAAAATACCACCAAAAGAAAGCGCTAGTCGTGTGAACAAAATGATAAAATTTTAGTTTGGGTACAGTGTTGCATGGCCATGCAATTGTCATTCAAAGTGTGAGAGCTCTGAAACCTGAAAATTGGCCTGGGCAGGAAGGGGGTAAAAGTGCCCGGTATTGAAGTTGTTAAAAAGAAAAATAAAAAAACACAGTAACTCATACAAAGGATGACTTGGCTGGATTATTGGACAAAAAGCATTGTTTCAAAATATATGGACACTTGGAATCTGTCTTTGTTTAATCACAGTTTATGGTGTGAATTGCTTACATATAAATGCATATGTTGTATGCATGTCCATCAAATACATTTATTATTTTTTTTATTTTTCATGTGATGTAATATTGATATGATAACATGATAATTTGTCACTAAGAGTATCTGTACTGTGCAGCATGGAGTCACTTATATTATTAACGTTAAATTAATGACACCCCAAAACAGGTCGCTAAACGCAGTGCGATCGCAAGAATTTGATCGTATGGGTGTGAATACCCATGCAATTCGAGTCAGGTGTGGCAAAAAAAAAAAAAAAAAAGAAGATGCCTGCACTTTTTTTGTGTGGGTGCAGTGCAAACTGAGCCCATACAAAATGAATAGGCTAAAATCGCACTGCAGAGAATCACATGTCACTTAAATAGGAATGCGGTGTGATTCCTATCCGAATCACATGTGGTGTCCTGCACCGCACAAGTGCAAACCCAGAAGTGTGAACCCAGGCTAAAAGAAACCCAATGGTTAATTTATATGCAGCTAAGTATATAGATAGCATATGGCAACTTTTAAAGCACTCTAAATTAAATATATCTTGAAACTTCATGCAAGGTACTCCAAGCACACGAAACTCACAGGTGAACAGGAACAGCTGTCAAATTATAGAAGGGAGAACATGCTGGAATCCCCAAAACATATAAGTAGTAAGGGGAAGACTTAGCCCACCAGATCCCACCTATAACTTATATAAATATATTCTACATCATTTTTGGTTCTACTAACCATAGTGGAAAAATTGCATTTCTTTTAAACAATAAAAAAAATCATAATAAAATGAAACATACTTGGGTGAGGTTTTCCAGCTAGCAGCCATCTGGGATCATAAGGAGCCTTAGTAGGAACAAAGTCAATTGGTCTGTCAATTGCATCCTTCGGTGTTATTATAGGAACAGGACTGGACATACACTGGAAAAAAAAGACAATATCTCATGATGGAGAACATTTCCTAGATAAGCTGTCAGTGTCAGAAAACAGTCAAGTGATAATGGAAGTCATTCAAATGTGTGAAGCATGTTACTAAGAACCAGATGGGTAGCATTATGCATACTGAAAAATAACACAAACTGTTTTAAAATTATTTGGAATCAATAAAAAAAAAAAAAAAAATTGCATCTTTGAATGTATTTGAACTTTTTTGTTCTATACAGAACAATTTAATAGATACAACTCAATAGAGCTATTATATGTTTAACCCCTTTACCGAAGGGTAAAACAAATCTTAATGCCTAAGCACAATTTTGCAATGTTGACTTGTGTTAGTAAAACCGTACATATCATCACAGCTACTTTGTACATTCAGGTGAATTATACCGCGTTTTTTTCAGGACAAATTGGGCTTTGATTTGGTGGTAAATGGTAATGGATATCTCCTGATTTTTTTTTATCATCAAAGAAAAACTAGCCCAAAATAGTAAAAAAATTTGTAGCTGTGTGTTTCTTGTTACTACCATAACCTACCATCAAAGAACAACTCAAAATAAATTTTCCAGCTCTTGATGATACCATATACGTTTATGTTATTTGTTGTTTGTACCTGTAGTACAGCCCAGAAACAATAGTGCGCATTTTAACCTAAAACACACTGACACTAAGGGCTCGTTCACACTTGGCTGTTTTACAAACGCTTGCCAAACGCCCCTATAGCGTCGTAGGTCGTTTGCGGAGCGGCACCATAGACTAGAATAGGAGGCTTCAACGCCTCCTGACTTGACCAGAGGCATCCGTTTTGCCACGACGCAAACGCTCCCATTAGAACAGCACCATGTGCTGTAATGTGCAGAATTGGCAGAGGCGTTTGGGAAGCGGTAAAAACGCTTCCCAAATGCCTCTCTGCCGCCTGCACACAACGCTAGTGTGAATGTAGCCTAACTGATACTGATACCAATTTGAAAAAAAATATTTTTTTTTTTAATCCTGACCTTTGACCCAAACACTTACTCTGGCACTGAACTAGATCAAACCTTGATCTAGGTATTTTTCCTTTAATTTTTTAATATTTTTTTTTTTAACAAACTTTTTTTTGCTCTATGCCAGGCGTTAAAGAGATACAATGTATCTCTCTCCGCCATTCGTAGAGAAAAAAAAAAAAAAAAAAAAAACGGGGGCAGGCTATACAGTGTCTTATCACTGTGGTAGCCAATCAGAGGCTATCACAGTGATCTTGTGACCCGGAAGCGGGAGTCCTAGGTCCCGATTGTTAGAATGGGACCCGGGGCTCTCAGTGACACCCCGGTCTTTGTGCTGGGAGAGCGCTGTGCGGCGCACTCCCAGCAGAAAGACAGGTATGCAAATATGCAGCCTCACGGGAAAAAGCCCAGTTCTGTGAGGCCACATATTTGTGTGACGTAGGCTCGAAGGGGTTAAACAGAAACTGATGTTCCTAACGTAGGCTATTCATTTTACAAGGGAGTTTTTCCTTGGCTTAGTGAATGAGGTAAAGCACTGCTGACTATCATCCAATCTTGTGCAAGCAAAAATACATTTTTTTTTATTTTTCATTACTTTTGACTTGATATTGTTTGCAAAGTGAATTTTCACCACATTAACTAAGCTAAAGCTTACTACACATCTCGCATACATCTAAAAGATTCCTTCATCCATGCTGAGCAGCATGAACGGAAAAATCTCCCACTTGGAAATAGTATTTTAACAGCCATCCACGCCTTCTGTCAAAATACCAGAACAGTAGTTGAACCTGATTGGATGCAACCACTGTTCGGATGATAACTTTCCAGCTGGCTCTTTTGATTTATCAGTTGAGGAAAGTGGGGTGGGAAGGGGATAACAAGACCAGCCATGTAGTACATTTCAGATGGCTTATCAGGAATTTGAATAGTGTATGGCCAGCTTAAAAAAAAATGTCTTTCAAAGAGAACAGCCTATTCTTTTGCATGCATAGTAGAGACATGGGAAGGAAATGGAAGAGTCTGCTAAGCTCCTGAAATGCTAGCACATGCTGTGTATCTGTACAGTACATGATCTAGCTTTCTAACGCAGTTCATCTTATATTGTAGACTAGGCCAGATAAATGTTAGAGTACAAGTTTCATAGAAGTTTGATAGACAGAACCTTATGTTTTCGTATACGTTATAAAGTGAACTCATATTTTAGCTACTGTATGGTGTACTTTAGGAAAACATACCTTTGGCATGTAAGAAAGCCACTGCAAAATAGTGTACACTCCTTCAAAGTCATCATACACTGTGGCATGTGTGACTCCATTGTTATGCATGATTTGGATTCCACCAAGCTGATTGTTAGATGTGTAGACTTCCCGACCAAGAACCTTGAAAAATAAAAAGCTGAATTAACCAAGTACCGAATTACATTCTCCTTATGGTTGTTTGGGGAGGAGAAGAAAAGGTAAGATGGAAATAAAGCCATACATTGAACTGAAATATCAAATGACAAATCAAAACAAATTAGTCTCTCTCAAAACATACAGTAAAATATATAAGGCTTTAAACTTTCTATTCTGGGCTATACAGGGTAAAACAAGAACGTGTATAAAGTCAAGGTTTTCAAAATTAACCACTTCAATACCGGGCACTTTTACCCCCTACCCAGGCAAATTTTCAGCTTTCAGTGTTGCTGCAGTTTGAATGGCAATTGCACGGTCATGCAACACTGTATCCATAAACATTTTTTATATTTTTTTCACACAAATAGAGCTTTTTTTAGTGGTATTTAATGCCCACTGTGTTTTTTATTTTTTGCTAAATAAACAAAAAAAACCCCTGAAACTTTTGAAAAAAAAATGCATTTTTCTTCGTTTCTGTTATAAAATGTTGCAAATTAATAACATTTCTTCATATATTTAGGTCAAAATGTATTCTGCTACATTTCTTTGGTAAAAATACCCCAAATTAGTGTATATTATTTAGTCTGAAGGAAAGTTAGAGTCCACAAACCATGGTATATATATATCTGACAATCGATCATTCCTGATGTACTGACAGCCCATTTCATTTCTTGAGCCCCGAAAATGCCAGGATAGTACAAATACCCCACAAATTACCCATTTTTGGAAAATAGACAGTCCAAGTTATTTAGTAAAAGGCATGGCGAGTTTTTTGGAGGTTGTAATTTTTTGGAAAATGTACAAATTAAAAAAACACTTTTTTTTTTTTTTTTAAACATATTGTAACTAGTCCAGTACAGTGTTATTATATAAAACTGGTGTGGCAGTGATCAGGTGACAGTATGTAAAATAAAAATAATAATAATTTTTTTCAAAATGTTCTATTATTTTTTATGACATAATTTTTTCTTTTTTTTCAACACACTGTGATCAAAGCAACACAAAAGTTACCATAGTAACATTGAACTACTCTGGGCAAGTGGTCAGGATTTTTTTTTTTTTACAATTATAATTGCTAATACCAATGTATTTCACTGATATTTGCAATCATTGTTACTGCGTGAAACTGGTTCATTCAGTCTTTTGTTGTGATTAGCTGTGATTGGGCAAAGCACATCACATGATACAGATGGGTTGTGATTGGCCCTGTCTGTACCATGTGACTGCCTTGACCAATCACAGCAAACACAATTTTTTACAATGGATGGCATGACAGGAAGACTTCCATTTTATACAATTGACATATGATTGGTCACAGTGGTCACATGACACTGGCAACAGGCCGGTGTAGTGATATGTCATCGGCAGTGTCCCGTGGACACAGCCTGTGGCAGATCGTGCCACTGAGCAGCCCTGCATCCGCATGAGTGGCTACTTTTGACAGGACATCATATGACACCCAGTTACAAGGAGGAGTGTCCCGCCCGGCCATCAATCTGCTATAGACAGGGCAGGAAGGTGTTATTATTAAACAACACATAATGTACAGTTATCCGTTAAATCAGGCTTGTCCAACCTGGGGACCACATGTGGCCCAAGTTGGCTATGAATGTGGCCCAACACAAAATCGATAACTTAATTAAAAATATTGATTTTTTTTTTTTTTAATTTGTAAAAAATGCATTTACACTTAGCAAACACATGCAGTCAAAGAAAAAATTGACAGTGTCTGTACTGGACTTGTATAAGTTTTATCTTCCCAAAGAACAATCTCCCACTCTTCACAATCACGCCTTATTCATGTCATCAGTTTTCGGCAGCACCTATATTTGTGAGCAACTATTTTCAAGAATGAAGCACGCAAAGGGCAAAATTAGAACCAAAATATCTGATGAGCACCCTGAGAATTCATAGAGAAATGCTACTACATCCATCAGATATTGATATGTAAGTTTATCGAAAACATTGTCAAATATCACACTAGTTTTATGGTTCCCACTTGTACTTTTATATTAAAAATATTACAAAAAAAATAAAGTTTTATTACTCAGGTAGGTACATTCTCTAGATCAGTGATCAATTACTTGTGATCTGCCCGACTTTGTTTGCTCATCAGCTATGCTTATTGTTAGTGTATTTTATGTGTGGTCCAAGACTTCTTGCAATGTGGCCCATGAAAGTTCAAAAATTGGACACCCATGTTTTAAATTAAACTGTGTGTATTATTATGGTTTCAATAAGTATTAGATTATATTTTGCAGTAATTTATGCAAAAATCCCCAAAATTTCAAAGAGTTTATATTGTTTTTCTCATAACTGTAACTTCCTGGATCAACACATCATCACAATATAAACTAGTTATTATAACTGTGGATGCCAACTGAGTGCAAGAAAAACATATAATTGATTTAAAATTCCACTACTGATTTCACCACTAAAATGTTGTATAGAAGGGTGTATTTTTGGTTAGCTGTTGGTCATCCATCAAGCCATACTGTGCCCAAGCGATCTGTACACCAAAATTAGTATCTGCAGTGCAGAATTTGTTTTGCATGCCTGAATCATCAAACAGCAAGTACAACGTTTCTTTGTTGAGTCTGATAAAATGGTCATGTTTGTCATTTGGAGTTTTCAGTTCTTGTACTGTGATCCTAATTGCTACTTTGGTCACAATCCCATCCTGTTTTTTGGTTTTCATTGTTTCTCTGCCACCTGCGTTGACTTTCTCCCTGTGATATAATACAGTTTCAACAGATTTAACTCTCCAGTTTCTTATCTCAAAACATAAAGAAATGACAGATATTTAAAAAAAAAAGCTATAAATTCCCATTAACATTTAGCTCATCCATACCACAGACCCTTTTCCAGATGAAAGGGTCCAACTCTCAAAGCACCAAAGCTTAGAGTTAGAGTGTCTATAGCCAAGTATAGTTTGCCCTCAAGAGCATTTCACTTGCATTTAACATTTGATTGAGATGCCACTAAGACCCTTCAGTGTTCACTGACAGTTGCATTTGACCTCCTTCTGATCTACATTTCAACGCCTAAGCTGCATAGATAAAAATAATAATAAACTTATTTTATATACGCCTTTAACCGCTTTCCCGCTGCGCTATAGCAGATATACTGCTACAGGGCGGCAGGGGTGCGCAAAATCACGTACATATACGTGATTGTGCATTTCTGGGTAGGGGGCGCGTGCCTCGGCTGTCAATCGCCAGGTCCCAGCTGGTGATTACCCGCCGGCGCCCAGTGATTGTTCAGTAATTGCCGAGCATCTCCTGTCAGCTCGTGCAAAGCAGTGTTCTTACAGTGAAGCACACAGACACAAGTAAAACAGCACACAGGTAACCCTTTGATCACCCCATATGTTAACCCCTTTTTGCCCAGCCCAGTGCCATTAGTACAGTTTTTTTTTTTTTAGCACTGATCACTGTATTGGTGTCACTGGGATGTCAGTGACACCAAGTCAGTTCCCCCCAGTGTCAGAATGCCCGTTGCAGTCCTGCAATAAGTCGCAGATCACCGCCATTACTAATAATGGATGCAGCTATGTTTCTCAAATGGAAAAAAGTTGTTCTGAAAGCATTTTGTACATGTGGATCAAAAGTTAAACTAGCATTAAATATCACCCCTAGATTTTACAGTTTAGACTGAGAGCTCACGTACAATACCATCTATGGATAGGCTTCCAGGACTGGCCCTACATAATTGATGGTAGTGCCAATAAGCATTATTTCAGTCTTGTCATAGTTCAATTGAAGGAAATTGCAGGCCATCCAAGTATTTATATCACAAGTATAGTTGAGAGAAGCAGCCAAAGAAGAATCCGGTTTAGTGTGGATGGATTGTCATCAGCATAGAAGTGATAATTGAGCTCATGTGATCTAAGCAGTTGGCCATGTGGAAACATGTAAATGCTAAAAAGTAAAGGACCCAAGCTTGAGCCATGAGAATCACCAAACTTGACTGGGTCAACTTCAGACTGGAATCAGCCAAGAGTAACAAAGTGACAGTGATCAGTAAGATATTACCTAATCCAGTATGAAAACAGTATGAAAGGCAGAACAAAGATCCAGTAGAATAATATGAACCTCTTGTTAAGCTGATTTTGCTTTCCTATTGGAAAACGTCAGCATTTCCTTTTCTGCAGCACAGTGGATAAATGGTAGCACTTCCACCTGGCAGTACTAGGGTTGTTGGTTGGAATCCCAACCACAGCACCACCTGACTGGAGTTTGCATGTTCTCCCTGTGCCTGTGTGGGTTTCCTCCCACACTCCAAAGACATGCTGGTAGGTTAATTGTATCCTGTCTAAATCTGCCCTAGTTCAGGGCTTAAAATTTCAAGTCCTGAGCTACTAGCAGGCCTTAAGAGTTACTCGCCACCAGTTGCCCCACCCAACCGCTACCCTGCCATGCTCCTAATCCCTCCCCTAAACACGCCCTCGTAAATTCTCTCATTAAATGACATTGTTAAATGGTTTATGCAGAATACAGTTACAGAAATAAATATATACCCTGCTTCACCCCCCCATAGCCATGTCCTCTACCCCCATTTAAAAATAAAGAAAGGGGGGTGAGAGAGAGAAGGGGGTAAGAGAAAAAGAGGGGGGAAGGGGGCAAAAAAGGGGGGTGATTGGTATTTCTGCTACTCACAATTATGGCACCATCCCCCCATAGTTTGAAGTTATAATGAGCACACAACCCCCCTCTTAGAACACATGGTCTCCATTATGGTACAATGCGCCCCCCCCAGAACACACACAGGGCCCCCTACTACATAAAGTGAATACAAAGCCATGATACACACACACACACGTCTCCCCTCTGGCTCTCTCAGCCTGTCACACTGCGTTTCTCAGCACTCCGATCACATACAGTTCTCCCCCTTCCTCCCACTGTTACATGCTGAGTTCTCACCAGTCTGTGGATTCTCCTCCTCCTTGGGCTCTGTCAGTCACT